ACACTATTAGCTTAATGCTATGAAACTTTTCGTGTGGACTATCAAGCATAAAATGCCAATATTTTTGAGTTGACATTTTGTAAACGTTTTTTTAAAATGCGAAAACAAAAGTAAATGCGACTAAAAATGCTTTAACGCTGAATAAAATACAATTTCTATGGCATTTTCTAGAAACACTTGGAACAATTAGCTAAAAAACAATCAAGTTATTTAAAGGGGGTAAACAAATGAATGCAATTAGAGTTAAATGCGCTCCCATTCAAAAGGTGTTTTGTCAATATTTTGTATTCTCGTGAGCGTTTTGTTCGCGAAATATCAATTATTCAAACACGTGATGGCACAGTTATCTAAGTTATCAATTATCAAAGGCAGTCGCTATCAACTGATAACTCGACGTTATACAAATTTTATGCAAGTTAATCAATGTCGGAGAAACCAGTTTAACAGATGTGCGCTTGGAAAACTGGCTGCTGTTTGGGCGTTTGGTTTTCCTTAACGCAGTTTTGGTCGCAGAACCGCTTTTCAGCAGCGAATTCAACCAACTGAAGTCACGTAGGCCAAACAAAATGTTTCAGTTTAATGCAAATGTTGCATATTTTTTATAAAATTTAACAAAAAGCAGAAAATAGATATAAAAATCGGAGAGAAAAAAAAACCATCGTAAACTTTACATTTTATGTGCTTAATACAATGTAAATGATTTAGGTAAATGCGTGGCCGTTACTCGAGGGGGGCGTGTCCGCAACACGCCTAAGGAGGCAGTCAAAAAGGGCAGATAAACAAAAAATAAACTTTAACAAAAACAAAGCACGAGCTCCGCAGCTTATACCCTGTTCATAAGTCAAAAGTGTCTTCATTTTATTTTAGTTCAAAACAAATAAGACCTTTCTACGCGATTTTTAAGAATTCAAGTAATGATTATAGATTTCTGTAACTGAGCGAGTGAGAAGCAGAACTGCAGCTAAGGCTTTGAGAAGGAATCCGAGTGACAGGGATAGGGACAGGGATACGATAGAGAGAGGAATAAAGAAAGCGAGTAGTACACAGAAAGAATCGCCTCAAAAAAGGAAAAAACACCGAATGATGAGGAAATAGAAGCAAAACGCATTATAAGGGACAAAGAGAACAAAAATAAAAAAGTGATAAGTAAGATAGTGAGAAGTACAGAGAGAGGCTGTGACAGTGCGCACAGAGAGAGGGCAGAGAAAAAAATGCACAAGGGGAAGGTAGTAAAATTGACAGTCAAAAGGATGCACTTGGAATATATGTTAATCTAAATAGCATCAATATGTTGATGGTACTTGATTTTATGAAAATCACATAGAAGGGCGATCTCTAAATATAAACAGCGTACTCTCAATGATGCACCTTTGAGGGTAAAATCAGTTTATCTGCATATGCTTTACTATAGCCTACATTTTGGGTTTATGTTCAATCGCACTTATTTTCTGCAGCATACATAAAAACAACTAGACAAAGCCTCTTCTTAAATATTCACAAAAGGTTACAGGGTATCAAAACAAAACAACAAAAAAAAGAAAACAAAAAAAAAAACAAAACAAACTGATAAAACAAAACTGACAACAACAAAAACTGGTTACTACTTGCTGCAGAAGACAACAGGTTTTTCTTCCCTTTATTTTTTTTTGGTTTGTTTAATTTTATAAATAAACGCAGAAAAATGCGTAGCAGAGATGATTAAAGAAGAGGGGGAAAACCATAAACAGACAGGCAAAAAAAAAAGAAAACAAAATGCATTGCTCTAAATATAGAACATCAGGCGCGGCGATGGCAGTCAAGGATATTTTGATAAGCTTCCTGGTGGCGGTCAACCAAAAAGATAAGATACAATTTCAAATCGCACGACAAATAATTATGATTTAGCAATTTCGCTTTGGGATTGAATTGGATTTTAGTACTATTATTTCTTTTATTTCGTTTTCGTTTTAATACTTCTTCTGACATTCAAGGTAAGGTCTCGGTCAACGCGTTCGCGTTTAGTGTCTGCCTTCGCCGAAGCTGTATAATTATCGCAAATGCAAAAACTAAGCGTGATTAATGATTGCGCTTAGATTTCTTATATGTATTCGAAATTTGCCCCCTACCCCTGGCCCAGCTGCCAGTCTATTAGTTAAAACACTTAGTCATCAACACGTGTCAAAATTTTCAAGTGTTACATAAATAAATATATATACTTATATATGTGATAAGAGCAAAAGTTTTCTCAGAAGGTATTTCCATTTTATCATGAAGTTTGCAAGCAACTCGATTAAGGTCATTTTCGATCGCATCGAATATGAATATGTATACATATACGTATACGTAATATATATATATATATATATATTGCATATGTACATATGGATATGGAACTAACAAATCTGCATTTAGCTCAGGAAGCATGACTTTATAAGGAAATCCGTTTTGGAACCTTATGATTTATATAATTAATAATTTCTTAAGTTTAATTCTTTTTTATTTTTTCGTACAAGCTGCTATTTGTTCCGCAAAGAAAAAAACATATAAGTCAAGACTCTTGTAGCCGAAAAGATTATTCAAAAATGTTAACAAATCATCCATTTTCATTTATCAACAGAGGAATATATCAAAATTTAGACGAGCTGTAAACAAGCTTAAATCTCTTAACATCGATTTATTATGTGTATTCTCCAGTTTTTCTAAATCTTTGACAAATCTTTCATGCAAACAGCTTCCTTGCCGCTTAAGAAAGCTATCTCTGTGCACATTTACATTAACATACATATATGTCGACTAGCATATGCTAGAAAAACGGTCACACTTTGACGTTTCTTTGACAAGACCGAGCAAAACGTAGAATTTATTACTGTTGTTATATTGAAAAGAGTTTTTTTTTAGCGTAACAACCCTATAAACTGCAACAGGCCGAAGCTACAAATCCAAATAGCTGTACATTAGGGTGAGCAATTATTGTGAATAGTAAAAAGCGTCAACCCTATTGAAAATATACGCAGCTAACGTCATTGAAGCAACAGCGTCGACAGCAACAACAGCGACGCTGACGACGACAACGCAGCAGCAGCAGCAGCAGCTGAAGAAAAAGAAAGCAAAACGCTTATGCAATAGGCAACAAACAGCCCATCCAACAGAGATCACATGGCAGGAGCGTAGATTTCTTATTAGTCTATCTGGCAGAAAAAGGTGTGGGGGATTTCAAATTAGGATGATCATAACTCACCTTCGTTTCTCCTTAGGCTTGCCGCTGGCTGTCAAGGCAGCGCCTGCAGCAGCAGCGGGCGGCGACTTGTCTCCAGCGTTGACAGCGACGTTGGCGCTTGACGACGACGTCGCTGCAGCAGCGGCAGCGGCGCTCCGTTGCTTTTGAGCCTCCGCTGCCGCATCGATTGTATCAATTAACGAAACCATTTTCTATGAAATGATGAAGCCTCAGCAGCATTCAAATATGTAAATGTATTGCTGACTGTTAACTATTCTATTTTTTCCTCTTTGTCGTTGCTAATCACTGTTATTGCTGTTGCCGTCCTGTTAATTGTGTACTTGCTGTTGAGACTCTTCGTTATAACTTTTGTGTTGTTGGTTTTTTTTTTTGTGAATTAAAAAAACTACCGAATGGAAGTACTTTGTATATTTTCGAATTCCTCTTTCCGTCTTTCGTATGCACACCAATACGTTACTGCGTATGTACGTAGTTGCTTGTGTGTGTGTGTGTTTGTGCGTATATTTTTGTCAGTGTGCAGCACAAACTTTTTGACTGCACGGGAACTGATTTTGAAGAAAACACAGTTGTGAAATTTTAAGGCATATGTATTATTGCTGAGAATATTATAAATATTTATTCGAAAGCAATCTGCACAACACTCACTACACTGGCGGCTGTTGGTAATTGGACTTTCTATTTTATTTACTGATTTCGTAGCGCGCTCGAACTGCGATTGCCACAAGGTTATTTGCTTGTTTTGATTTATATATTTGGCCTGTAGCTCGAATTGATTGCACTTTAACCCCAAAAACTATTGCACTTTAAAATTTTGCACAGATTTGCTATTGAATTCACGTTTTAACGTTTCACATGTGAGATTAATTAACACATAGAGCATTTTATAATGCGTTTAACAACATTTTCGTTACGCTTTTCACAAATTGTCTTATTTTTCTTATGGTGGTCGGCCGATTAACTGTGGTGGCCAGCCGATTACTAGATGACACTGATGAACTGCAACAGTGAATCAGATGGTTTTGTCAAATATACTGCAAAATACTAAAAACATGTAAATGTTAAACAGCTATTAAGTGCTTAAAATTTAAAAAGTAAAAGCTACAGGTTTTAATATATGCTTAAATATTAAAAATAAAAAAAGCGAGAGTTTATTTTAACACAAATTCAAGGAGAGCTACAAAATGAAGAAAAACAACTAAAGTCGCAAGGTATTAAAACAGCTGTTAAGTGGGATGAAACAAAACCCTAACAGCTGATATGTTATTAATGAGAGAGCTAACCTGTTAATCAATAGAAACAAGCTTTTACTATTTTAAACTACTTTGTTTCATTTATTTTATTCCACTTTTGACATGGCATTGTTGTTGGTTATATGTGTATCTGCTGCCGCAACCGCAGCTGCTCCAGCACCGCCTGAAAGTTCATCAACTTCCTTAACACTGGAGCTGCTTTCCGAATTCATAACGTCACCGAGGGCATCGTCATCATCATCTCCACCATTTGCCTTATTATAGACAGTCGGATATTGCTGGAAGCAATCCTGCATTTTACGGAATGCCTCATAGCAATCGGAGCCCTTAGGATCCGCTTCGCTGTAGTGGAAACATGAAAACGCTTCTCGAAAGTCAACACCGCAAGGTCCCGTTGCCATGCCGCCCAAACATGGGCAGCTCCAATTAATGCTGCCATCCTTTGTAATTAGACCCTGCGGTGGCTCTGGAGCTGGTAGCTCAACGGTACTGGGTGTAGAATGGTCCTCCTTGGTGGCAAAGATTACCTTATCTTTTCCAAAGACCTTACAATAAGAGAATGCCATGCTTATAGTTGACAATCGTCTATCTGAGCTTCTTCACAATTATCGTTTTCTCCAATATCCTTCTGAAAGTCCAGGGGCGTTTTAGATGTTTTTAAAATTCGAAAATGACAGGGCACTTTCTGGTAATGCCCAATCAATGTAATTGCTGTATGCGTGCGCTTAAAGAACTCTTCGGGCACCCGGAAAACAACACGTCGCTGCTCTACGCTAAATTTGATTATATCCAAACTGGTCTTCCCGCCAATTTCACCAAAGAAACTTTCCAGCGAGTTTAAAACGCAGCCCCGAAAATAGATGGGGGTCAGCTCAACGGTATCAAAATCACGAAATTTCCTACAAAAGACAAACTGTTAAATAATATGCTTATGGCTCTGGTACAACAACAGGCACGTGTACTGTTAACTGTGCCCAGTTTTTGCTTGCCATTCTACTCACAGTTGCACATCAAAGTAATGATATCCTATCATACTTCTGTTAACAACCTGCCCACAGAACTTCTGATGCTGTGCGGCTTTTAATTGCACTAAATGCAGGAAAGCACGTTGTAAATGCCGCTCTTTGTTTTTATGTAATTGATTCTTTCGCTTCTGCTTGTTTCTTTCTTAACGTTCCGGTTCTTCTTCTTCTCAATCTGATGTTTTTACATACGAACAGCTGATAAATGCGTTGGTCTTGTGAATGGTAGAAAAAATGTTTACAACATTTCACAACAAAGCGCGCGTATTTTTAATAAACCTGGCAGCAAACATTTTTAAAATTTTGAAAGAAATTTAATAAAACAAAAGCATCTTTGACGAGCTGCACGTCATATCAAAATGGAGCAAAAGCAACGCACAGCTCAGAAGCAACCAGACCTGGCCACTGGCACCACGGCCGATGTCTCCGAAGATGAGGAGGACGCGGGGCCGCTGGATGTGCTTAAACTGCAGGTAAAGTCGCGCCCATAGGCCAATTGTCAGATATATATATATATAAACTTATATGCAGGGCAATAACATCAATCCCAGGGACATTAAGCTGCTGCAGCAGGCCAGTTTGCATACCGTGGAGTCGGTTACATATGCGACACGACGTCAGCTGCTGAACATCAAAGGCCTGGGCGAGTCCAAGGTGGATCACATTATGAAGGAGGCCTCGAAGCTGGTGCCCCTAAGCTTTACCAGCGCACGCACCTTTCACCAGATGCGCTCCGAAGTTGTGATGCTCACAACTGGCTCCAAGGAGCTGGACAAGCTGCTTGGCGGTGGCATTGAGACGGGCTCGATAACCGAAATCTTCGGGGAGTTTCGTTGCGGCAAGACCCAAATCTGCCATACGCTGGCCGTCACTTGTCAGTTGCCCATCAGTCAGAATGGCGGCGAGGGCAAGGCCTTGTATATTGATACGGAGGGCACATTCCGGCCGGAACGTTTGTCGGCCATTGCGCAGCGCTACAACATGGAGGAGGCTGATGTTCTCGACAATGTGGCCTGTGCGCGTGCTCACAATACGGATCAGCAGACGAAACTGGTTCAAATGGCAGCTGGCATGATGTTTGAGTCGAGGTTCGTACTAAAATTAATGTCTATCCATTTCAAAAACTGTCCTGCCTGATTGACTGAGGCCACGAGGGAAATTTCCTGTTGTCCATAGTCGAAGTAACAGCATGCAGATCTGTTTCTATGGATCTGCATTTCCTACCTGAGTGCTTTGATTTAGGACCTAGTAGCTCTTCCATTGGCTTTAGAATGAAAGACAGCATGTTGATCGGTCGATAATCTTCAGTATATGCTTGGTAGACGCAAGCCAGGTTTCTCGTAGTTCTCCAATACAAAACACTCTGAACTCTTCTCAAATTTCAGATACGCCCTAATCATTGTGGACAGTGCCATGGCTCTATACCGCTCCGAGTATATTGGACGAGGCGAGCTAGCAGCGCGTCAAAATCATTTGGGTCTATTTCTCCGCATGCTGCAGCGTCTGGCGGACGAGTTTGGTGTCGCGGTGGTCATTACGAATCAGGTGACGGCCCAAGTGGATGGCGGTGCGTCCATGTTCGCAGCGGATGCAAAGAAACCAATTGGCGGTCACATCATGGCACACGCATCGACAACCCGTTTGTATTTGCGCAAGGGCAAGGGGGATGCACGCATTTGCAAGATCTACGATTCGCCCTGCTTGCCCGAATCGGAGGCCATGTTTGCCATACTACCCGAGGGTATTGGTGATGTCAAGGAAAACGATTAATTAATTTGATGATTGAATTTATGAAATATATGCAAAGCTAAGCTCATATTTGATATTTGACGATTGATTTGTTTAACTATACTATGAACATATATTTTTATAAGAATTTTAGGATATGAATAAAAATAAATATATATACAGTATATACAATAATTACATATATCATTCACAGTACAGTGGCCACTCGCAAATTCGAACGCTTCAAATTCCAGAATGGCTTAAAAATTTAAATACAATTTCTAAGATTAAACAATTAATGAGTAGGATTGTATGACATTATAAAATTATTTTTAATAATAATAGTGATTAATGCGTTCAAAATCAAATTTAAATTTTCGATCAATTATAGTTCTCCCGAGTTCTAATAATCGAGGAACCACTGTACTATCTACAGCAACTAGCGGAACCGCTGCATTTAGCTTAACGTTGTATATTTTAACAGAGCTTGCTTATGTTAACATTTATGTACAGAAACAAAAGCAATTCCTTTCCATGCGTTTCAGCGCAGCTCAGCCTTAATTCCGCTCGTTCCGGTACATGTAAACAATAATAGGCAATACATTTTTGGCAATGGACAACAATTTGGATGAGAACAACACTGATCCTTTGGCACTGGACTCGGGCGAAGACGAAAGCATAGAATATGATGTGAGTGACTACATCGAACCAGAAATAATCATCGAAGACTGTCCGGCACTGCGGCGCAGTAAAAGAAGCAGCAGTCAACGTGGTGGGGAGCAGCTGGAGACAGACAGCTTGAGCAACGGTACCGTGCAGCTCAGTCCAAGCATAGCTCAAACTGAAGCCAATGTGGAGCCGCTTTTTCCAATTACACCAAAAATGAGACAGTGCATCAAGCGCATGAAGCAGCGCATGTTGGCCACATTGAGACTCTCCGACGAGCAGCTATCCCAAAGATGCGCAAAGCGGGCAAATCAAACGCGAGAGAGTCGCCGCAGAGCAGCAAACGCTGATACTGCCTATAGACACAAGGAGACCGACAAGAAGATGGCCCGCACAAAGATACAGCGGGCAATGGAAACGCCAGAGCAACTGGTCGTGCGCAGAGGTAAAAAGCGTGAAGAAGGCCGTCGATACCGGGCCAAACGCGGGCGTACCGAAACCACGGAGCAAAAGTCGGCGCGCCACGAGTATCAGCGCACGTACAGCAAGAGCCGTAAACCCATTAATTTTGTATAAATATGTATAAACTAGCAAACACTAACACTAATGTACCCCTATATATAAATCATATAGCATTATAGTATATTAATATCTGTTATTATATATTATTGAATTGAAAATTCCGCCCGTGCTTATAGTCTGTTTTTCTGAACTTGGATTATCCTCGAGGCACGAATTCTATCGACTCTAGACTTGGCAATCAGTTTGGGTAAAGCGTAAACAACCTTGCGCACGTGTTCGTAGAATTTTAGATCTTTGATTTAGCTCATAGGTTAAAAAAAAGTTTTTACAACAGTTTTCCATCTGCTTTCCACATGGTAGCTACAGCTAGTCAGCGTTTGGGATCTGCTGTTATTGACAGATTAAGTAAATAGCAAATAAATATGGTCAAGAGTTTATTTTGTTTAATAGATCAGAATACACGTATATTCATAATAGTGTATATAACATATAAACTAAGCAATTGTATTTAATTGTGTATCGTTTGGTGCACGGATTGCTGATGCAGCTCTCAGACGTAGTGCTTATGGGTGAACATACGTAGAAGCGCCCGATGATGCAATTTAAACTAAAATAGCAAGCAACCAGTTCAATTGGCCGATCTGTCAATTTCACAGGTTATTTTTTCTTTTAAGGGGGGAGTCGGGGCTTCACATTAAGCCCTCGCTTAGGCGAGGGTTTTAAGCTTAAAATTACCTTTAAGAAAGAGAAAAGGTATCATTAATTTTTATAAGTTAATGCTGATATTAAGGGCATAACCTTCCCACCTTAAGTAGATGTAGTTGGAACCGTTGACGCGGCCTTTTGCTGACCTTTAGTTTTGGACAACCTCCTTGGAGGATGCGACTTGTTCCTTGGTCTTTACCAGATTTTCGTAGCTGTGCTCGCTCATCGAAACGCGCAGGTTATCGTTGATGTTTTTCGTATAGTTTTTATAGATCTTGACCTTTTCGCAAAAATCCACCCAGAAGTTCTCTTCGGGCTCGGAATCTGGGTTAAAGAGCGTCTTGAAGCCATCATAAATAGCGGTCGAGACTTTACGTATTATTTGCGCCTTTTCCTTGAACTCCAACTCATCCGATATATCCATTTTCCATAGCTCCAAATTGCCAACATATCGACGTAGCCGACGCATTATATCAACACATTCCGGATTGCGCAACAGCATCAATTTATTCAGCTCGATCTCCTTGAGCTGCTCCAATATCTCCAGGCATCTGCCCACATTGGCCCGCCGCAGTCCGAGGCACTCGCGCAGCTGCTGTGATAATTGTATAAAATCACGTTCCATGAACAGCGCATCCTCCTGCTCAATTAGCTCCTCAATGAAACGCACCGCCTCCTGCTTGGGTATTTCATTGCGCACCGGCTCGATTATAATACGTTCTGGCATGGACTCGGCATCGATTTGTCCAGACTCCAGTTTCAGCTTCAATTCGATGGCCTCTTTGCGCGCCTTCTCCATCCAGGCCTGCTCTGCGGCTGTGTTCTCAAAGCTGGCGGGCTTCTTGTAGTTGATATTAATGCCCAAGCATTTGGCTGTCGGCATGTACACCATGAGCAGATTATTCTGTATAATCTGATTTGGATATAGATAATATATATATTAAATATACACTTCAAATCATTTTGAGCTACTCACATTTACTTGCCGAGAACGCTTCTGCATGGGCGTCACGGCGGCCGTGGGTTTTGATTTCTTTACGGATTTCTTGGTGGTATTTGTGGCTCCAATGCCTTCGGGTGGAACGCGTTTCTTTTGCGGCGGCGGCGTTTCCACTGCATCGGTGCTGACATCCTCCGTATCTCCATCCACATGTCGTGGTTGCGCCTTCGACTTACGTCCTCCTCCCGCCGCAGCACCACGCGCTTTTGGCTCACTGCTCTCGGCAGCTGGAATTCCAGCTGCTGTCGTCGTTGCCGTCGCCGTCGTCGCCACTACGGGCTCTGCAGCTGCTGGTGCAGCCGTTGCAGCCTCTGCTGGCGCTTCTGGCACCGCGTCAAGCGTGCTTTCATTGCCCTCATCGGTTGTGGGCAAATCGATTGGCGCCGAATCTTCGCCGCGTAGCGCGCTTTCAATTTGATCAATGGCCTCGCTGAACTTGGCCCTTTTCATGTTTTTCGGATTGGCG